CCTTGCCAATTTCCTCTATTCAGACGTCTGTTTTCACAGAGCCTGTGGGAACTTTGTGTCCCAGCATCATTTGCCCCTCTGTCAAACTTGGTTGAAATTGGAAAACAGGTTGAAAAATTATAGGGAGTCACAGACGCACATGCCTTAAACATCCAGCGCGTGCATGATTCATCCCATTAATTTTTATACGTGGTGCTGAAAGATCTCATAGAAGCGCAGATCCAAATAGTTCCCAAATGCCCCAGTGAGCATGGAAGGACAAGTGGAAGATGCGAAAAAACACGTTGCTGTGGCAAGCAGGCACAGGAGGGCTGCTGGGGGCGTCTGCCAGGCTGGAGCTGGGTGCTGTGGGCTGTATGGCCCCGTGCATCAGGCAGGGGATGGAGCTGGTGAGCAGTCACTGGAGGGGACCCTGGGCAGGCAGGCGGATAGGGCATGGTGTGAAACCCGCTCACCCTCTCCATGAGGGATGCCGACTTTCAGGGAAAGAGGTTTGTCTGCTGGTGGGAGCAAACACTTGCTTTTTGGAGTCCCGTTCATCTTCCCAGCATGGGAAACCATTTCGTAAAGGAGAGAGGTTGCCTAATCACGCTCTGGCGTTTTCCTTTGTCCGCTTATCTGACATTTCCTAGCCATTGATGGATAAGTAAAATCTTCCCGTCGTGACGGTGTGAAATCCTACGTACGCAGGCTGGTATGCAGAGCTGACACAACACGAGCTCGCCGTGCTGGGGCGATGTTAATGTGCCTTAATGACAGAAAGCTCCAGCAGCAAGGTGCAGCACAACCTTTTCCACCCATGAAGGTGCTGAATGGAAGTCTAAAGAATTCTCACTGCCATCTAGATCTTCTTTCTCATCTCTTACACACTGATAGTTAAATAAGATCCTGTTAATGACCTTTTGTTAAAACATTTTTATTACAGTCTTCCTTGTCTTCTCTTTCTCTCTCTCTCTCTCTCTCTTTTTTTTTTTTTTTCTTTTCCCATTTAAAACTGTATCTATGACTGTGGTCTGTGTGAAGTTGTATAAAATAAGAGTTCTGTAAAGACTGAAGTTTATCTTGTTTACCAACTTCTTATAAACCTAACATATTTAATTATAATTAAGCTTTTTTTTTTTTAATCACATTTGTGGAGGAAAAAAAAAAGGAAAAGCATGTTTCCAGGTAGGGTGGCAGAATATTTAATATGTATTTGTTCCATGCAACTTTGCTGTGAAATAGAATCACCTCTCAAGGCATTTAGTTAATTGTTGTTGTTTAGCATCCATATTCCTGCACCAGATAGGTGCCCCAAAGGAGTTGGGCTTCTTTTGTGCTAAGTGCAATAAAGACACACGGTGGGAAGCAGATCCAGACACAAACACATTACGGTGTAAGTATCAGGTTAGTAATTGGGCATCCATTCTCTGTAATCTTAAAAGCACCTCATCTTACGGTCCTGTGATGGGTTCAGGGATGACTCTTCCCCAGGTAATTCCAGAAGTAAAATGAGAGTTTAGGTGTGTTGGTATTTTACTGGAGAAGCGATTCAAAGCTGAAAGTTAGAGCACTCTTAGAGCGTTTCTGTCCCCTTCTGTGTCAGAGCAATGTACAGTTTTATCCTTCCTCTAGATGCAGTAACATCTAAGGGTGCTTGCTCTTTGAAAATTGCAGGGGAAAATTAAAGTTTCTGCATTCAGACTGTGTAGTGGTCAAGACTATTCACAGTGTTGGGTGAAGAAATTAATTTTGCGAATCTTTTATGTATGGTAACTTATAAACTAGGATCTCATTTTTGATGGTACTTTTTTGCAATGTACTTTTTGCAGTATTAAAAATCATAGGGCATCCCGGGGATTTTACTAAACTTTCTCAAACACTAAGTCCCATGAAAAATTTAGTGGATTGTGTGATCTTGTATTTGATAGCATGTCCTGGGACTTTTATAAAAGATCTCTACAGCGGTCTAATCATTTAAACTCAATTTCAATAATGTTATATATTTACTTTTCCAAGTGAAATGTGCTGTTCCCTATAAAGTCTCTGTAACAATTTACATCTGTTAATTTGAACTAGTTTAAAGTTACAGTTTTACTCTGATCAGATGATTTTCTAATAATGTGATTATTTCTTAATAATTGCATTTGAAAGACAATTTGAAACAGCTAAAACATTGTTCTTAGTAGTCTTCTGGAAAAAGTAATTATAACAAAAAATGGTACATGTACTTTATTGTCTTACACTGTAAAACCTTGCTATTTTTTGCTGCTTTTGCAGTAGTTTGTAGTTGATAGTGTTCCCATCTGAACATTTGCACCCAGCTTCTTCTTTATGGACTTTTTCTTTTTTAATTTTATTTTTAATTTAATTTTATTTTTATTTTGCCTTTATCAACATGGCTTTTCACAGCAGCCAATGTGTCACATAACTTCTCTTATGAGCCTCCTGAAGTCCTGGGGGTCAGCCTGCAAAGTGAAAAATGCAGAGATCTAGGAATGGCTCAGCCAGCTGAAAGTTACGGGAAGGGAAAGGCTCCAGTTTCACTGAAGGAAAAAAAAAAAAAAAAAAAGAGAGAAAAAAAAAGGAGAAGAAGAAGAATGGCTCCTTTCAATGCAGACGGAGGCAGTCTGGCTGAGAGTCAGGGAGGTTTAAAAATCCAAGAGGTCCAATAACTGAAAATCTGTACAGATTCAAAGCAATATTTTAAATACCGCACAAGTGCAGATAAAAAAAAAAAAAAGAAAGAAAGAAAAAAAAAAGTGATGGTTTTTCCATCCTCCTGGTGCACATAGCCAACCACGTACCAAAACTAGTCACTATTTCTTCCCCCCAAACCCTGAGCGCATGTGTCCAGTCCATGTTGTCAAAGGATGTGGGTGAAGACCTCCTGCTGGAATAACTCCTCTTATCACTTTTCAGTGGGATGATGGCAGATTGTTCCCAACCAAAAACCCACAAGAAGGTCCTCTTATTTTGGTGAAATATGAATGTTGTTGTCCTAGCAGTGGTGCTGAGCTAGTGATCCAGCAGCGATGCTGCCATTTGCATCTCAGGTGGTGTTACTTCTGCTGATGAGGCTCCAGTTCGTGATGCCCATTTCACAACAACAACAAAAAATGACACACAAAGCAAGAGCCATGGGTTCTGGAGAACCTGGTTGTGGGTTTATACTGTGAAGCTGCCTCTCCTTCTCCTCCCTTTCCCTCCTTCTCCTTGGGTCTCTTTTTCCCTGTCTGTTTGCCTTCCTTTCTCTCCTTTTACTGCTCCTATTCACTGTTCCAGCTTCTCCCCGTAGTTCCAGACAGGCTCCAAAGCCTTGTATGAAAACACGGGGAGAGGGCAAATGATCAGTGAATAAAGCACTGAGGACTTACCTCTTAGAGCCTGTTATACTGTCAGCTCAAAGTTAAAGAGCAATAAATCTGGCGGTCTCACGTTGGTCCCCCGTGTGCTGCAGTCCACCTCATAAAACTACTACATAATTAAGTACAGTGCAGCACAATTGGCAGTCTCTGCTCAGCGAAGGCCCAGCAGCGAGCATATAAACCTGCTGCCGGTCCCCAAAGGTGGATGCTCGAGGTGATGGGGAGGTGGGGGAAGGCGCTGCCTGCCAGCGCAGCCCCCCTGCCTTCCTGTGAGGAGGGGGCAGCTCAGCCTTCCCACTGCTGGTACGGCCCCTGAGTGCGAGTATTTAAGCAGGGGAGAGGAGAGTAGGCAGCAAAGGTGATGCTGTGGGGGGAGCAAGAGCAGCCGTGCAAAGGTGGCCCCAAGGGACTCAAGGCAGCACCGGCTGCAGAGGCTGGGGCAGCCTGTGGGAGTAGGATGGGGGAGAAATGGGCAGCCCAGAGGAAAAGGAGGCAGACTGGCAACAGGTCTCCATCCTGCATCTTCTTTTGCTTCCTTGGTTGCCTTTCCTGACATCAGGCTGTGAATATTTTGAATGTCAAATTCTGCTAAGAAAGCAGTTTTCCTGCTCTGGAGGGATGCTGTCCAGATGTAGATGTACAGATGGGATGTATACTGCCCAGACTGCCTGATGCCCCCCTCATGCTCTGCACCGTGGGTACCTAAAGCTTGTGCTGCTCTGTGGAAAGGCAGGGAGCTGCAAAATCTCTCTATTATTTGGTTTAGCACCCAAATTTTCTCTTTAACAGCAGGACACTTGTGACTGCGCAGGGCAGAGGTGTGTGTTGCTTATGGTAGTGAGCTAAACCTCCTTTTAAGAAATGAAAAAGGAAAAGAATAGATGGGGAAAAGGAAAGAGAAGTGTTTAATCACCAGTTAGGCAGCTAGCTCCAGCAGCAGGACTGGCCCTATCCTGATGGTGCCCTCTAGTGCTTTGCTCCCCAGCTGCAGGAATGATTTTTCGAGCTGTAACTGCACATTTTGGGTCAGCAGAGGCTTGGGAGGAAATCCCCCAGTACAAATAATCCTCAGTTTTCATTTGTGTTCATGGTACTGCTGGTTTTTCTCTCTGGCATTTTTGCGGCCTGCTGCATGCAGATGTGTACTTTGCCCAGGTCTGTGCACATGTGGTGTTTCTGCTGTTTTGGGGAAGGACTGGTTTTATTTTATGCACTTGCACTGTGTGTGACTGGCTGGTCCTGTTATACCCCATGCCCCAGCTGAACTGTATTTTCCAAGCTATAAGCTGAGCTGCCAGTTCCCTCTGCCTCCCTACAAAAAGAAGGTTTAAGATTAGCTTGTCTGCTCTGTGGAAAGCTGCTTGTCACAGTGTTGGTGTCCCATTAACGTACCCTTTTGGAGAGAAGGTGCCCTACATACAGACCTCATCTGTGTGTGCAGCTGAAATCAAGGAGATTGCTTGTCCTCATGCAATCAGCATGCAATACCTCTAGAAAGTCCTGGAATATCTCTGAGAGCCTTAAATTCCACATGGACAAAATTCCCAGATGAATAAAAGGGGGATGTATTTGGGTAAATCCAAGAACATACCTAAATAGTAATATCTGGAGGATCTACAACTTATTTCTTTATTTTTTATTTTTATTTTTTAGAAGTTCCCTCCATGAAAGTCCTCATTTCTTATGGAAGGTCTCATTATCCCAGTGGAGATGGTGTGCCCCAGCCAGCTGCAGGCAGAAGAGAGCATGCATGGATGCTGTTTCTCAGAGAAATCTGGTAGGAGAGGTAAGACAAACGTGTGAAGAAAGATGGTACTAAGGTTACATATTTTGGGGATGAGAAATGAAGGCTCAAAACCCTTTGAAGAGAATTTTCCGTGATTACTTATGGCACAAAAATTTGTCTAAAGAATCTTGTCCATGAAATTGGCACATGAGGTGGTATTTGTTCTTGCTCCTCTTAGTTATGATGTTGCTTTTAGCCTGTTTCGTTTGTAGATGTCCAAACTCTCTACGAAACTAATTTCAACATAACTAGCCTTTTTTTTTTTTTTCCTTTTTATTATTTTTTTTTTTTCCTGAAATAAAAGTATGGATAGACCTGAAACACTTCAGAGAGCTTGATCTGTAAATTCTCAGCCCTGTGATGTGAAATGAATGATTTCAGATCTCCATGCAGACTTCATGGGTGGACCTTATTTCAGTAGATGGAACTGACTTACACCCCAAATATAAAAAGCCCTAATGCCGAGAGGTGCAAGATCTGCACAGAGAGCCAGACCCCAAATGTATGCCAAAATAACAGACAGAAGGTAGGCCATTAGCCTTTTGCTTCTTTCAAGCAGTTTTATTCCTCCAGTTTTTAAAGAAGCAGCAGAAGTTAATGAACTGTTTTTTCCAGAAAGCAAACTTTTTGGTCAAAGTCACTTTGGGTATTTGGGGAAAAGTATTTTGAATGATCCAGTGGTGGATTTCAGCTGTAAAGCTCTCTGAAGTCGTCTTCTGCCAGTTTGTCTGCCAGAAGACAAGTTGCCCAGGTGGTGCTTTGGACAGACTGCCACTCTTTATTTGTAACACCCACCTCTGCTATTATTACTGTCATTACTGTCATGAGTTGTTACTGGTGGTTCTTGTCTCTTCTTGCAAGCTGCTTTTTTTTTTTTTTTTTTTTTTTTTTTTTTTTTTGTGAGCTGGAGCACAGCTTCTAGTTCTTCTTTGAGTGAGCAGTGGGAGCAAAGGGGCTGGATGGTGTTGGACGCCAGCAGCCCGTGCTCCTTCAGGGTACCACTGACACCACCACAGGTATAAAGCGACAATACTTTTCGAGACTATGGGGCTCGTTTTGCCCAGCAGGAGGTGCCAGAATGGAAGTACTTTATTGCCAGAGTCCTGGATTTGGTCGGCTGAAATCAAATGCAGGTGGGGAAGTAAGAGTTTTTCCAGATTGCCCCGGGACAGCATGAAGCCTGATTACGGCTAGCAAGATCACATCGCAGTATCAGGGCAGAAGTCTTTCTCTGCCAAATTACGATAGACTCACGGAGTTCTTGGGTGACATATTCAAACTTGGGCTGCTGAAGCAAAGTTGCCTGCTATCTGAAGCCACAGCACTTGAAATTTAGGGCTGAAGCTAAGGCTCCTTCTGCTGGCTTCAGGCCCCTTGGGTAGCAAAGAGTAATTTTAGTTTGTGTCAAAGAAAATGAATGACTCTTTGCCCTGCAGAGGTGACAGCTTTGGGGTTTTCTGCACTGCCCCTCTGCCATGTAGCAGAGGGCCTTGCTGTGGGAAAGGGCTTATAGCAAAGGGTGCCCCAGGAAATCGGGGGCCAGGTACCCCTTGGCCCCAGGAAACCCTTGCTGCTGGTGTGGGCTGAGCAATAGGCTGTTCTGTTTTGTGTCAGAAGACTGCCCTGGCAGCCACAATAAAAGTATACAAACATATATCTATACCGAGCAACCCAGCCCTTGGTGTCCATCAGGATTTACGCTTCATCTGTGTTATGGATTAAGGTAAAAAAAATCAGGCTAAACCATAACATATATTAACTGTATATCTGGGCACTTTAATCTGGGGAGAAAGTTCCTTGTTCTGGGTAGTGCAATCTTCTCTGAGAGTGAATTCCTGAGCTGTTACTCCTGAATAAAACCCTGTGGAGAAGTGTCCTGGAGATAATCAGTTGCAGCTCTCCTGTCACTCATGGGACTGAGAGTCTGTTGTGGATGGATGGAGCTGACTCCACCAGCTTGTAGTTGCCTGGATTAATCACATGTTGGGCCAGAGTATGAGAGCACTGCCTGTAATGGGTCTAAAATGTTACTGGGTGTAGAGCTGACCTTTTCTGTGATCCAGACCTATTGAAGTTTGACTCTACACAACCATTCACTTCTCCTGCAGCCATTTTATTCCTACTTTTTATAATAATTCCAGGATTTTCTGGAAAATGCCTCCAAAAAGGTGGTAATGTCCCACCGAGACAAACAAGAGCCCATACATTGGAGCGAGATACAGGACAGAGAGGTGAGTATTCTTTTAAAAGCAGGTTTAAAGGCGTTCTTCCCCAGCTCCCATTCCCATTCCTCTTGGACAGATGTCCATCTGGCTACCCAATGCATCACAGCCTTTCTTGGCCACAGCAGGAGGTACCCGGGGAGGCTGGGCAGCGCTTGCTGGTGGGGAACCTGCTGTCGGCAAGCCAGTGGTGGAGCCTGACACCTCTGAAGCCATAAAAGCTGGGAATTTTAACCCACAGCCAAGGATTACAGACCCCTGCAGCCAGGCATCGGCAGGACGCCACCTTAATGTTGCCATGCTGGGCACTGGGGTTTTAATGCCTAACTGTGAATTTCCTACCTCGTCTTTCTGCATGCACACACACACTTTTTCTTTTTTGGAGGGGCTCTCTTGCTACATTAGCTTTCTTGCAATGCATTTTTTGTTGTGTGAATACTGCCGCCCTGTCAGCTCGGCACCGAAATGCCATAAATCTGGTGGTCTCGTGCCTGTCCCCTGTGTACTGCAGTCCACCTCATAAAACTGCTACTTAATTAAGTACGGCGTGGTACAATTGGCAGTCTCTGCTCAGCAGCCAAGGCTCAGGTCTGAGCACACACATGTACGCCTGTCGGGCTTGTGCCGAGAGGTGTGGCGAGGGACCTGCTGCTGTTGGAGTGGGGAGGCATTTCTAAGTAGAGGTGGCTGAGAAAACTCTTTAAAAGTGCAGAAAATGTCTTATAAATTGTTAAAAGCCTACCCCTCTAATCACAGGCCAGGGTTTCTAGGCCAGCTGGGGAGAGGACACCTTTCTTTGAATAAAAGACTTCATATACTCAGAAATGCTTAAGAATTAATTACGATTGATTTGGGAAATGAAAATGAAAGAATGTTAATAAATTGTTAGTACTCAGTGAAAGCAATACCTTAAGGTTACCCAGAGGCCTTGCTTCCATCTATCTCACTCAGGATAAGTAAGAGATTGTTAAATTTTCCATTTTAATTGACCGTAGAGCCAATATCTGAAGGAACTTTATAGGCTTTAGTGCATTGTTCCTCCTGCTGATCTTATTCTTTCTTTTTTGTTTGTAAGGATGCAAACTGAGTGGTGGAGAAGTTATGTAGCAAGTCATGGGTACAACTTCATTCTCTTGACTCCTAATGACTCTCTAAACTAGAAAAATGCCTTTATTGATGGCCCATAAATTATAAGCACTTTAATTAGAGCATTGACCCTCACCTCCTTTTAACACATTTTACCTTCCATCTCAGTAGTGTGGCCATCGCTGTGATGCCAGGGCTCTCTCTTGTGTTGGCTTATAACAAATCTCTGCAGTCTCTTTTGTAGGCAGAGCCACACTTGCTGCCTCCATGCTCTCCCCATGAGTCAGCCTGGATCCATCCACACACCACTCAGGACAGGCAGGCAGCACACATGCAAGCCCAGCATAGATTGGGTTGGAGCTTGCAGAATTTGGCTGGCTAGAAACAGTGCTGGAGAGGGTATAGGTCTTTGTGAGTGGCCCTGTTGACTGGGTTCGTGAGCTGGCAAGCGTTGGCATTGACTTCATATGGATATTTAGAAACCCTGCATTTGTAGACCAAATTTGGATCTGCTCCTTTTGCCTGAGCACAACCATTATTGCAGTTAAAACATTGCTACTATTAAAATAATAAGCTCTGAATAGTTATAATATTGACTTGTTCTTTCCTTGTTAGTGACGCATGATGACTGAATAACTGATGAAATGTGATGCTCACCACAAGCTTTATTTTTCAGACCCCAAAGTTCCACATCTCCTCAGTCACGAATGCTGTATTGCCAGGGCATGGGCTCTGCCCATCCTGGTAGGCTCAGAGCTATGGTGGGTTGTGAAAATCAAGAGCAAACAGCGAGGAAAGACAAGTCTTGTCAGTCTGGAGAATGAGTTGGTTGAACCACCAGGCCCCGGATCTATGGCAGCGGAAGCAACATTGGAATTGTGTCTTGCTGTGAGTTCAGCTTCTTTTCCAGACCCTTTTCCGTTCACATGAAAGCCCTTCAGACTCAATGGGGATTTTGCTCTAACAATAACAACAGACTTATTCCCAAAGTCACTGGCATGGGAATTTTATTTAGTAACAGCTTTATTCTTTGTGAGGTCTCCAAGGAAGGCAATTGTTTTCTTCTGTCTGATGTTGGAGATGGAGATCTAGGGACAGGTGGTGGATTTCCTTCTCCTTCTGGTCTTGGTGGTTGAGGGAAAGATCAAGGCCATTATTTTCCTTTCACTCTAGTGTCAGTGCAAATGCATCCAGAGCTTACTGAGTACACAGAAATTATTAGTTTTCAGTGTTTGTTCAAATGGATGCTATTCAAAACAATCTGCACCAGCAAAAGCAAATAATACCCAGTATGGATATTCTGTAAAACCAAAGGAAAAAGAGTAATTCCTCTAATTCACAGAACATGGTTTTGCACGTTGTCTGAAAGCTATTATAATTTTACAGTTATTTACGCATAATAAATCTAGAGTTGGAAGAGAAACTCAAGGCCAGCGAGGTATTTGCCATCAGACTAGCGTGCACAGCAGCTCAAGGCAGTTGCTCAGAGCTGTTCACATTCCCCTTGTGCTGCACTGCACTGGTGCGATGCCAGCAAGAGCACCTTTCCCTCAGATGTTGGAGGAGTGGGGAGGAACAAGGAACAAGTAGCACGTCTGCCAGCACTAAAGAGGTAAACCGACACCGGAACTCAGCCTTTCTGTAAAATAACTCTTGCTAATATCATCATGTGTTACAGAGATTGAAAATCAGATTAAGGTAATTGAGAGTAGTCAGGCAGCATAGCAGTGTGTGCAAAGAGTTTAGTAAAAAAAAAAGTTGTAAGGAAAATATGGCTGTTAGGGTTTGGTTTGCCTTTCCATTAGAAAGGAAAAATGAAACTAAAAGGTGGTTTTATGCTATACTCTCCTGTGGGTGTAAGTATACAGGAAACGACCCAGCTGATTAGGCCAGATGGCAAGGATGAAAACCGGTGTGCAGACACTGCACAGCAAAAACTGGAATTATGAAAATGGTGATGCTGTATTTTGCCACATAACACGCGTCCTTCTCGGCTGGACCCCAGGCACCTTGTGCCAGTTACCGTGACGCTGACGAGATGCCAGCACCCCATGCAAGCCAAAAGCCATGGGGCAGGCATGGGTGCGATGGTTCCTGGGATGGGCAGTCACTCAGGCCTGATCATGCAGGGGGAGGCGCAGAGCCCAGGAGGTGGCTGGTGATGCTCTGCCAGCCAGTTCTGGGCTCTGGGATGGTCACACAAGGAAAATGCCTGTGCTACCTCCTGCGGGCGGTGTCTGAGGGTTTGGCTGGGTTTCAGTGGCGAGGCACTGACATTTGCTGGAAAATATGCTTCTTAATGTGAGACGTTCTCCTGAACTTTCTCCTGGCTTAAGATTTCTGCTGCTTCCAGAAACACTGTTTCTGCCTCAAAAAGGCCTAGCAAATGCTTTGTGAATAGCTCAGATGACAAAATATCATCATTGTTTTCTTTCCCTTCAGTATTGGGCCCTATCATGTGAGGAACTCTGCCAGCATAGAGGTAGGCAGCATCCTTCCCTTGCAATTTGGTTACAAAAATTGGTATCTAATTATGTGGGCCCGGCGTGCCCCGTCAGTCTCCGATTTGGCCAAGCTCCCGATGGATGCCTGCCCTAGGTTGGCTGCTCCCACGCGCCCGCCAGTGTGGGTGGATAAATGACTCAGATAAAATTTGACTGACTGGTAGAAACCTGGTCTGGGGGTAATTCAAGACAGGGACTTGGGGGAGTCTGTTGTGTTATCAAACCTGGGCAGATGTGGCAAACAGCTTTGTGAGAGTGCTCTTTCACCAGCTTGCTAATATCCTGGCCAGAATTCAGTACTCACTGATCTCATAGTTTGTTACCTGAGATTAATCTTTATTTTGGAAAAAGTCTGTGAAAAAGAAGGTATCTCTTTCTAGCGCTGTATAGGAAAAAAATAATTTAACCTCAGAAGCTAGATCCTCTACTGGCAGATGTCAGCATGAGTCCATTGTCCTAAATCATTATTATTATGACCTGGTATGTCTGAGATATGAAACAAGATTTTGTTGTTAAATGGAAAATGTTGAAGTCAGTGGCAGAAGTCTTGTTGGAAAAAAAAAAAAAAGTCACAACAAAAAAACCCAAAACACATGTTCCAATTTACAGGTCAGTTGATATCCTCCCCCGAGGCTGCCTTAATTTCTAGTTTGGGCATGTCAATAAATCAATGCCACAAGCCATCAGTGAGGCAGTATCCAGCAAAGCAGCTGCCATATGAACACCATGCTCAGAATCCAAGCATGTATATAGCCAAAAATCTCTCAGTACGTTTTCTTACTTCATTAGTTTCTGTTTTGCATAAAAATAGCTGTCATTTCTGCAATGAATAATCATGTCTGCCTTGAGATAGATATGTCTACGTGATAAGTTTGTTAAATAATAATGAGAGGAAATAAGTTCCTGTGTGGAACCTTTAATGCAATTCTGTTATGGTACTTTTTCTTGTTAATAGATGTCCTTTAAGCGCTATTTTTTGTGCGTGTTATACGTAGGTGAAGAAGCAGTTGATAAAACAATAACATCATTAAAAAAAAAAAAAAAGTGATGACTTTATGCTTACACATCCCAGGATAATATCACAGCTATGATTAATAGAGGGTTGTAACACAAATAAGACTCTATGGAGACTTTCTGCCTCATGCTGTGTACATTTTTCACTGCTGTGCAGTGGCTATAAAATGCTCTCTTATGGGATCCTTACGGTTTGATTTTCCTCTACTTTGTGTTATGAGATGAATGCACTTGAGCAGGTGAATTCAAGTCATTACCATGTCTGGACTCCTGCTGTCCATTCAATCTGCAGCGTTGCAAATAACTGCACGATCTGCAAGGCCAGGAGAGTTGTGACTTGGTTATGCTGGAAAGAAGGGAGCTGGGAAAGGATGTTCTCCCAGTGCACCCCAAAGTGCACCCTGAAACCTTGCTCCAAGAAGATAAAAATGTCAGGAAGACAGGAAGATGGGTGACAAAAGCATCAGAATTTCTTCAGCCTTCAAAGACCAGCACAATACCTTCTCAGATCTCTGAAAACATCTGTAACTTTTGAAATCTGAAGTGGTCAGGATCAAAAAAGGTATTATGGGTACTGACTGCCTGAAACCTATCATGCTGGACACTTCCTGCAAAGGTTAAATTAAACAAGTAGTTCCCGGAGCAGAGGAACTAACACCACCCGGTTTCCTCCAACCTGTCTCACAAGATCTCTTCCTCCTCTGGATTCTCTGTCTCAGACAGAAAAAGCACATGGTAAGGCTTGTATGTTAGGGGAGACATAAAGAACAACAAATGATTTCTCTTCCTGGTCACCGAGGTGCAAAAAATAAATCTCGAGGTATTGGAGACTGCGACCCTCCCTGTCAAATCTGGCTGAGACGAGTAATGAGAGTTACCAGTGGGGAACAGAAACAGACAAACGCAGCATGACTGTATAGACATTGTTTCCTTAGGAAACTGGGCTCAAAACAAAGCGCACAAATCTGGTATATTTATAGTGAAAGAGGTGGGGGGCTTTCCTTTCCAGAGGAAATGGACTGCTTTCCTGGGCCTGATCCTCACATTACTGGAAACTACTTCAGTTCACACTGACTGCAGATCCTGTCCTGCTCTTCCCGATCCAGGAACCTGTGTAAGTTCTGGAAGAAGTCAGCAGTGCCTGTAGCACTACCAGAAGATACCTCAGGTGCTCCACAGTAACGTTTATTTCTGTATTAATACTATGCCTAAAGTATGTATAGGATATTTATGATGTATCCAAGAGTCAGTCAACTGAGCTGAAAATCAGGGAAAGAGAAAGGATCATACTGAAGACAAGTTACCTCAGCTCCAGCTCTATCCCATGCTACAACTTAGCAGACAGACTACACTGCCAAGTACAAATTCGTACCTTTTTGGTGGCATGGTGGTAGCTTCCTGCAAGAGTTTTTGGTTCTCCTAGGCGGGAGGAAATGTAGGAAGAGGAGGGCAAGATTGAGGCAAATTCAACCCAAAGTCCCTCTGAGAAAGCAGAGACCAGGCAGACTGTTTCTCCTCTCAGATGTGAAGTTTCCTCCCCAGGGGGAAAGAAGAATTGGGCGAGCTAAAAGAGGCAGTATTGTTAAGCAAGGTAAAACACTTGGAAATCTAGAATTTTTCTGCTCTACCACAAACTTTCCAATCTCTACGTACCGCAGATGCAGCCCAACCTCTCAGGAAGCCAAGACGTAGATACTGGGATACTGAACACCAAAGACACCTATTAAATCTAGTCCCTGACAATGCAACATTGTTCCCAATTTTAAATTTGTTGGAGTTCCTTTGTATTTTGGGTTCTTGTTTTTAGAATTGGCTGTGGACAGGTTTTCTGCTTTGTACTCAAAATACCCAAACTGGGCTTAAGTTACTAGTTAAACATTATGAAGTGTCTTTTAAAGACCTGTAAAGTACAGAGTTACTTGTTATATAGCTAGGCTTTTGTTATTTGGCCTTTCATCCAGAAGTTTTTGAAAAGCCAAGAACAAAATGTCTTTCCTCATTGATACCCTGATCTTATGTCTACTGATCACAAATGCAGATTAGAGTAAAACTCTCTGCTCTAGCTGGTACTGGGTGTTTCTTGACAGTCCCCTATAGCCAAATACCTAATAGCCTTTTTTTTTTCTTTTTTCCTTCTTTTTCCAGGAGGTGATTCCAAGAGTAAAACAAAGCATAGTTTTCAGAGATATTTCTGATTTGCCAGCCTGATTCCTCTATTACTCCTCCATGAATTCTCACAGCCATACTTTTCTGGCCCTTGTGTAGGGCTGTATGTGAGATAATCTTACCTGATCATTTCAGTTAATTCTAAAATGATCCTGAAGCAAGTTTTACCATAAAACAAAACAAAAGAATTTCTCACAGTGTGCTCTTGCATCTTTGCGCTGACTCAAATAGCATGTGCAGGCCTGTCTCTGTGTTTAAAGGTAGCCAATACTGTCCAATCACAGTTTTGTGCCCAGAACCAATACACCTCCTTAACAATAATTTCTGAAATTTTCTCCACGAGTCTTGTCCAGTATTTGCTGACTTGAGCCATCATCAGCACAAATGTATTGTGGTGTTCAGTGAATGTCTAAGGTGTTAACCCATCACGGGCTCACTATACATAGCAGCAGACTACAGCAGAGGAGCTCTTTGTGGTTGTGAGCAAAAGTTAATAGAAGGTGTATCTTCCTCTTCCTTTGGTACTCATTGTTCTTCCTGACACCGACTTTTTGTTGCTTTTCATTAGGATCCATTTAAGAATTAGCAGCCTGATCGCCTTTCTTCGTATAATGTCACGTACGTTATGGCTCAGTGGTGAGGCATGCTGTCTTTCAACAGAAGTGCTAGCACATTCTGGGAATGGTGTCATGGAGCTAATTGGACAACTTGCTTTCAGTTGTACTGGATTTTTTAAAGTCAGGTCTGAACACATCTCAGTACAACTCTATAATCAGGATTAAAAGCAAAGGCCTCATCCTTTTCTGGCTTCTACTGGACTAAGTGAAGACAGCATTTGGAGTCAGTGTAGCTGTATGAGTGCAAGTGGATTGTAAGACTCAGTACTTTGAGATTTGTATCAAAGGTGTTTTTAATAGCCTGCAGTTTTCTTGGCATGAACTGCTTTCATGACTCAAGACATACATGGTGGGCTGAATTTATGCTGTGTGCAGGTTTCATTCAGGTGGGATTTAATGCGAAACTTGTAAATGTTCACATGCGTATGCACTGGCCTATGCTGTGTAACTGCCACCAGAGCCACATACAGGAATTTCTCTGAATCAAGGTGCTATCTGGGAGTATTAGTGTTGGCAAGGCCAAATACAGAAGCCTTGTACAGTCACTTGTGCAACACATGGCTGGAAACATGCCCTCCACAGTACATCCAGCCTCTCCCATTAAATCCATGCCTGAGTGAGGATGTGATGTACTGCAGTGACCATTAGTGCAGACACGTGTGTGTATCTGTACTCAGACTGTGAGTGGGAATAACAACATGTAGACGATAAAGATGAAGTTTCATTCACAGACAATGGATTTGGAGTCCTTCAATAAAACAGAACACCGTGGATAAAAAGGGTATTTAGGAAGTTTCTGTGTATACGGTATTTGTGCTTTTGTCGCTGACTTGCTTCCAATAAGATAAATAACAAGGAAATTACAGCATTTTTATAACCAGTACGGTGAAATAGTATTTAAAGAACCTTTTATTTCAACATCAAAGCATACATAAAAGAATAATCCATTCCCAATGGAATAACAAGACAAGACAGGACACTTGCTGTCTTTTAAAGCAAGAGGTTTTTCTTGCCAAGAACCTGAAGAAAGTAGATCTGCTTAAAATGACAAACTGATGCTTTTTGGCCTGTTAGCAAACTAATGCCCTCAATATGAAGAAGAGTCAAAGCCTTATTTCTAAAAAGACAGGATAAAGATGAGTGAGGTAAATCACATGGGAAAGAACTAGAAATGCTCACTATCATATGTATATTGTAATATATATATATATATATATATATATATATATATATATTTGGAATGCATAAAGGAATACCAGCATTCAACCAAAGAGGAAACCATAGCAATTTAGGAGCCTGGAATAATTTTCCTCATTAAATCAGCTCCAAATCCCACTGCAATCAGTGCAGAGGGATCCTTCTATTCCTTTCTCCTTCCTGTCCACCACCACCGTTGCATTAAAGTGGTGGCTTTGGGAGGTCTGTACAAGTGTCTTGCAGGCAGCCTGTTGGTGCCAGCAGATTGTGCAGGGCCTCTTTGCACCCACCTCATGTCTGAAGTGGCTTCGGAAGAGTCTCGGATATAAGGGACAGAGGTAAGTCTGGTCTGGGGGGCTGCCTGTAAATTGGAGAGTGTGGACGTGGACTGGAGGAGTGAAACATCCATGCTGTGTGCCTTGCAGCCAGGCCGCTGTCTCAAAGGGCCTTTCCTGCAGCAGCCGGCACGTGCAGAGTGTCAGCCCCTGCGCTCCTGCGTGCGCGTGTGGGCTTCCATCACGGCCCCGGCGCTTTGAACAGCCACTTTGTAGACAAGCAGGGAAGAGGTAAATCGAGTGCTTGGGAGGGGGAAGGAGGGTGGGGAGGAAGGAAAAGAAATGTGAGAAAGCCTTAGATGTAGTCCAAGCGTCCATCTGGTGGGTCCTTCTGATGTTCCCTTGCCGAAGCCCTCCCACTGAGCATGTCTCAGAAGGATCCCTCCTTTCTTTCTCTCCTGCCAAAAACTGAGTCAGAGGCGGGTTTTGTTAGAAAAGGGGTCATGAAAGCTTTGTTCAGCCTGCCCCCGTAGGGTGTGCGTTTGTTTAGGAGGATATTGAGGCTGTCCGAGAGCTGGTGGTTTGTATTCACACAAAGCTGAGCAGCTTCAGCCTGACTGGGACACCAGCGCCTCTGACACTCATCCAGAAGGTGCCATGCCAGAAAAAGCCCAGGATTGCCCCAAACCCTAAGTGGACTGATGCATCAGGGAGGGTTTTTGTTGCTGATTAGTGTCACCAGTCATATTTCAGGTTGCTCTTTTATTCTGACTTACCCAGGGAGTGGGGGAAGTGCCTGCTGTGGACACAGCAGTCAGGCCTCTGACCCACTGCTGCTCCAGGGGAAGAAAAGGCCTTGCGGCGTGCCCACCCATTTCTCAACGGAGCTGGCTGGGGTGGGGAATTCAGGTTTCAGCCCTGCACCTCTTCCTCCTGCTTCCTTAGGGCTCCCTGGAGCCTGCATTTGCAGCTGTGCTGCTGCTGGCCATGTAGGTGGGTTTTGCAAGGCTTTACAAGTGGCTTGAGTGTCTGTCTCATCTCACTATTTTGGAAAACAAGCCTTGCTGTTTACTAGGCTGGATTTTGACCTTTAAAATTTTAAGTTTTTTTTTTTTTTTTTCTTTTTTTCCCCCAGAGGTGGGGGGGATTACCTTTTGCAGGTATACATTGGATGGGGTTTTTAATATTTTACACGTAGAGGGAAGAATACATGGTGTAACTGACTTCTAAGGGGACATAGTACAAAAGATAAAAGAAAGAGAAATACCAGAATGAAAGCAACTGATTTCCATAAGACTTTCATGGAAGTTTGGGTCATTTAATAGTCAAATATGGGAATAAGAAATAAAGGAATAAGAACGGAAATTTGCTATTCTACTTGTTTTAACAAATACACACAAAGAAAAAAAGTTTATTTTTTTTTCCATTTTACTTTCAGTTCAGAACTCTTAGGTTCAAATTAAATTTAAACAGATGTGCACCAGCTATTTAGTTTCAAACTCTTGAAGAAAGACCACGTCTGCATTTCCACTGATATAAAGTGACACTCAACTGCTATAAAATGAAAGCCATTGTATGATGGAGCTATTTATCTTGCTCATTTAAGATAGAGAAACATTTTAAATGAAAATGTAAACAGGCCATTAAGCCTCACTGAAGGAGGATGCCAAAAAGGTTACTTTTAAAAACATATGCTTGAAATCAGAAAACAGAAAGTGAAAAATGAAGCATCGTAGCAGTTAGGACCTCATCCTGGATGGGAGGCAAAATGCAACGCCAGGATGAAGGGAGATACAATAGGATTTCAAGAGAGTCTTGTGTCCAGTAGTTATTTTAAAGACTTGAAAGAAAATACATGGAATTTTATACTATTGAATTGCTGCTGGGAGGTTTCTTTTATTAATACAGTGCTCAGTTTGCTTCTCAGTGAGGGTCTGGACTCAGAAAAGAAACACATGCTCTTTCCTGCGAGTGATGGGAACACAGGGACAGCTCCTCTGTGCTGCTGTAAGTCAAGAATCTCCAGTGATGTCTGTGGAATTAAGCCAGTTTGTATGAGCTGAAGATCTGGCCTAGGGTTTCCAGCCAACTGAATGGCTGCATTTGGGATCCCTTTTTTTTTTTTTTTTTTCTTTTTTCCTTTCTCCAGCGCCTAGCAGTGTGCTTGGGTAACTTTGGTGGGCCCTTAGGACACATAGCTTCTGCCACAGCTCAGCTCCAAAGTGGGGCTGGGTGCTGCTGCTGTGCACAGAAAGAGGAGCGGGAAGGGGCTGCACGCGTGCAACAATGCAACCAACCATTCCACATATACACATATCTTTCCTTCCTTTAGTCATTTTCCACCCTTGCTTTGAGCTCTTTTAGGCATGAACGACTTCCTTGTCTCTCTTTTAACCATGGCATTCCTGCTTCCTCATTATGCCTTCCCTTTAAAGGGAACAGGAGCATTTCTAAATGGCTAAGTGATGTTATTAATTGAGACCTTTCTCTTTCCACTGATCTAAATTGTCTTCTTTATCTCCTTAGTGCTCCAACAGGAATAGCCTCCTTACTGTCCCCTCTGCCAACACTTGAAGCCTTTCTCTGGTCATTTCTTGCTCCGGCTATCACATCCCAGTCTTTAGGCTTGGCCCATTTTGCTCCCAGTCCCTCAGTCTGCTCCAAATCCCTCCGGCAAGCTTGCCACCTCGTGCCATTCATTCCCTGTCTCCCTGGCTCTGTGCTGTCTTCATCTCTTGTTCATGGAGTTATGGAGTTCAAACACCTCTGAAGGTGTTTGAACTCCATAAGCCCTTCACATTTCATACCTTACCTAAAATAGTGCTTTTATTTCTGCTCCGTTCCTTCCTGCCCTTGGTGATCTGCCGTGACTGCTCCTTTTGTCTGCTTCCCCCACTCCTGCCTAGGGGCCCCTTTCCATGCTGCCGTCTGATTAATGTGTGTCAGTGCCCTCCATTTCCTTCTCCAAATCACTTCTTGAAAGCCCACCTATTCCATGAAATGTAACCACCTGAAAGGTACCTTTTTGGGTCTGGCAAGAAGCAATTCCATCTTATTTGATGGCGTGAAGCCATCAAAACCATTACAACCATTGCTTTCACGCTTGATATGATCACTGATCCCTCTTCTGCTGCAATACCAAGCTCTTGCAGTACTGATTTTCACCTGTGCCATATACACCTTCTAAGCCATCAGGAAACAGAAGAAAAATGGCTTGATGGCTTCTCCATTCCCCTAATTTCCTGGGCTTGCAGGGGGAGGAGTGGCTGTGGCTGGGTCACTGAGCCTGCTCTGTGCCTTGTAGGCCATCACCCCAACTGCCATCATCTCTTCCCATCCTCTACTTCTCTTCTAGGCGTGCTAGCTGCACTCCATGGTGGACAAGTTTAAAGGGTGTGAAGTCTTTCCACCACGGAGGCTGTGTGCCAAACAGGCATTTCCCTGTTGCGGAGGAATTCCCAGATGGACCAAGATGGGGACTGGGTCTTTGGGCCAAGGTATGGCTTTTGATTTTTGCTAAGTATTGTGTTTCTCTAAGGGCAGCAGGCAAAGTCTCAGTGTTTTATAAACACTGTTAACTCTAATAACTCAGTAATAATAATGCTTTTTTGAATGACTTTATTTTTATGGGTGTAATTATGTTGCACATATTTAATAAATTTAATTTAAAGACATCTCTTTGCAAAACTCCTCAAATTAAGTTGCAATTATCCCTTTTCCTATGCAACGGATTATGAGTGTACATTGGATCTAGTCTTAGTTTTTTTTTCTTCTCTCTGATCCAGCCAAAGTTTTATAAGCAGTATTTTATTTATATTAAAGCTGTGTCTCATTGATATTATGGGCACTTCAACCTGACAGTGTTTGGGGGTATTTATTTTGGCTGTTGCATCATCACATATTTAGACGAGAGGAAATAGCTATGTGCCTTCTAAATTGCTAACACTAAGGGGAGCACTTAATCTTTAGAATATCTTAACTATAAATCCAACATCAACACGTGTGTCAGAAAACACACAAATTCTTTGTGCCTAAATATTCAAGGATCATGATTAATGTTTAATGCAAAACACACACTAAGTGCATGGAAGTGGAATGCCAGTTGCTTTAGGTCCCATTAAAGAACTTCAGAACCTACATTTAATGATATTCTTGAAATATCCTCTATATACCTCCTGAGAAATTTGTGATTCGTTACTGCTTGCTTGCTAGTGTCAAGCACTGTGCCTTTTCTTCCAGTTTCTGGGCTGTGAGTCAAAATTGCCCCCGAGACAGTGAACATGGGGAGGGAGACCGCAAGTAAAAAG